TATTGGTCTAGAAATGTTAATTTATTTTTATTTTTTATTTTTTTCCATGTGTACAGGGGTAACATATCATACTAAATATGTAAGGTCATATCTACGTAGGTTTGATTACAGAAACTAATAAAGTATTCCCTAAATAATGAAAAAAGAATAAGATAAGACTATAAGAGCGAGAAGCAATTTAAATATGTTCAGGGACCATTTTCATCTCCAGAATTAAGGATTATTTTGATGTTACATCATTGCCTTTTCTCTTTTACTTTCCTTTTTAGTTTTATTTTAGGATTCCCTATTTTTAATGTTCATACAGAGATTTCTTTAACTGAAATACTGAATAGTTTCTTTGGTGTGAAAAACTATAATAGTACACAGGATCCTAATGAGACAATTTATAATGTGAAATAGGAAGTAAAGAGCTAAAGGTGTAAGGAAAGTGGGAAGGGTGGGTGAAAGGTAAAGGGAGAGGTGGGACAAGGGGAAAAATGAGAATCAAGACCTATTATGTAAAGGTACAGAATCCCAAGGATGAATGTAATTGTATTGTATACCTAAATTGTACCAATAACCTCAATAAAAAGAAAGAAAAAAAACAAACAAACCAAAATGTCCAGTGGGAGCCCAGATTAAATACTCCAATGAGACATGGTATGCATAATTCCCAAGTGGTTTCTTTGCCAGAGAGTCTGAGTGCTCACAGCCCAAAAGCTCCTCTGATCCTTCCACCGCAGTACTGAACCTCACTCATACTCTGGACCTCTTTTGGCTGGGTGTCAGGCATTCTTGCAGAGTCGAATTCAGTCTGAGCTTGGGGGTTAGGCACTCTTGCTGTCTCTCTCCCTGTGTGTGACAGTGGATTCAGCAGACAGATTCACTGACATAAAACTGTCCATCGAGTTGAGATTATTCCTATGCAATCAAAGAAGCTACAGCAGCAACAGGCTAATCCATTACACTGGAATCTAGCAGAGCTAGTTGAGAGATAACATACCATAAGCCTGTGTTTTGCGTTTTGCTTTAGCCTAGAGAAGAAATCCACAATTAGAGTTTAACAACCCATGTCTTGACCCACAGTTAATGTGCACTGAACGTGATGGCTGTGTCTCCTCCACTGGTGAAAAACAGCATTCAACAAGAGGCCAGAGGTAGAATGTTATGGCTTTTGTCTAGATATCCCCCAAAGCCTCATGTGGCCTTACATTATTTTTTTTAAATTTTCATTGAGATAATTGGTACAATCTAAGTATACAATGCAATTACATTCATTATTGGGATCCTGTACCTTTATATGATAGGTCTTGATTCTCATTTTTCCCCTTGTCCCTGCCCTCCCTTCACCCCCTCCTCCCTTCCCCATTTACACTTTATTTCCACTTTTTCATTTTCTCGTATTTTTCCCTCTCCCTTATTACTTTTCCCCCACCCTTCCCACTTTCCCTACACCTTTAGCCCTTTACTTCCTATTTCACATTACTAATTATCTCATTAGGATCTTCTGTACCATTATAGTTTTTCACACCAGAGAAACTATTCGGTATTTTAGTTAAAGAAATCTCTATATGAACATTAAAAATAGGGAATCCTAAAATAAAACTAAAAAGGAAAGTAAAAGAGAAAAGCCAATGATGTAAAATTAAAATAATCCTTAATTCTGAAGAAGAAAATGGTCCTT